GGTGGCAGATGATCTCGCCCAGTGGTTTCATGTAGATGTTAAAAAGGAGTGGGGAAAGTACCAAACCCTGAGGCACCCCACAAAAGAAAGGCTGCAGGCTGGACCTCTCACTCCCTATCAACACCGATTGGGACCAGCCTTGGAGGAAGGAGGTGAACCAGCACAAAACTGTCCCACCCACCCCCAACTCCCCAAGCCGACCCAAAAGGATACCATGGTCAATGGTATCAAAAGCCACTGAGAGATCAAGAAGAGTAAGGATGGATGCGCTACCCCAATCCCACTCCCACCAGAGGTCATCCAAAAGTGCAACCAATGCTGTTTCAGTCCCAAATCCGGGCCTGAAATCCGACTGAAAAGGGTCCAGATAATCCATTTCATCCAGGATCCTCTGGAGCTGCAATGCCACCACCTTCTCAACCACCTTCCCTAAAAAGGAATATGCTATGTTTTGCTGTTTAACATAGCCATATTTTAAATATTCCACATTTTTAATCTGTGCAATGAAAATCAATTGGAAAATCTGATTTGGGCAATTTTCTATTAATTAATTAATTAATTAATTAAATTGTTGCTAATTATACTTGATAGGAATATATTTTAAAATCAGAAAAATGAGGTATTTTGATTTATATAGTACATTATCTATGCTTTAGCAAGTACAGATTACTTAGATAGCCTACTAATCAAGCCTTGATAGAATTAATGGCAAATCTAGTCCTAGTTTTATGTTTCAACAAATCTATCTTGAAGGAAAACCCTGGAAAATGGATGTTATAGTTACTAACATTAATACATCATAAAGCATAAAATATATGATTTACAGGGCATAGGTAGCAGTCCACTAATTATTAATAAGGTTTCCCTTTGGTATTGAGGCATCCTACATTAGTTTGCTTTTGATAGCAACTGTCCTAACATGATATGTATACCCAAAAAAAGTTAAACACTACCACATGTCAGAGGCAAATTATAAATTTTAGACTATATTAGGAAAGTGTCTATGTCATGATGGCAAAAACAAACCCCCAAACGATTGTAGAAACCTATAAGAGGCCCAAAATTCAAAGCTAAATAAATGTTACATTCAGTGTATTAATACATATACAACATCTTAATCAAGTCAGAGTTTGTCAGGACTTGTTTTGCTTTATTACAAGATGCTTATGTTAGAAAAAAATATTTTTGCCATCAGAGTGAATGGCACCCAGTACAGAATATGATAACTGGATATACAAGGTCAACACTGGAGGTACAGTCCAGTTAACTGTTCTGGTTGCTTGGAAAACATGAAGTTCTACCAATTGGACTAAGTGTAAATAATCCTGTTTGTTTTGTTCTATCCCCTGGGTCAGAGATGTTCCAACTTTGGTCTTGGATGGGACTGTACTTCCCCAGTTAAGACTGGTGCACAACTTGGGGGTCCTTCTGGACTCATAGCTACTGCTTAAAGAGCAGTTGGCAGCTGTGCCCAGGTGGGTATTTGCACATGTTCATCTTGTGCACCAGTTGTGTCCTTTCCTCGATTGGGAGGCAGTCAGTCATGCCCTGATTAACTTACAATTGGATTATTGCAATGCACTCTATATGGGGCTGCCTTTGAAGACCACCTGGAAGCTACACCTGGTTCAAAATGTAGTGGCGTGAGCAGTAATGGGTGCCTCTCAGTGTACCCATGTGTCACCATTGCTACATAAGCTGCATTGGTTGCCAGTTGACTTCCAAGTCCAATTCAAGGTCCTGGTTATTACCTATAAAGCCCTGTATGGCGTAGGGCCTGGATATCTGAGAGGCTGCTTGTCTTCAACTATTTCTGCCTACCTGGTATGTTCCAGAAGAGTGGGTGTGCTCCATATCCCCTCCTTTAAACATTTCCATCTTCTGGGACCTAGGAAACATGCCTTCTCTGTTGCAGCCCCTACCCCTAGAACAGCATCCCCCCAGAGATAAGGACAGTGCCTCTGGAAAGCTTTGAAAACCTGGCTTTCGTTCTGGGCCTGGGGTTGATGTTTATTATTTGTTCAATGGTCCCTGTTTTGTTTTGTTGTTTTTGCTGTCTATTCAATTATTTTAGTCTGTGCTGTTGGTTTGATTTAATATTTTTAGCTGTTTTTATGTTTTTCCTAGTTTTGTATGTCACCCAGAGTCCACTGGAGTTGAGGGGGCCAATAAATTTAAATAAATAAAATAAAATGTAATATGAGCTACTGAGAAATTAATTTTCCTGCACAACCTTTCTCTTCGTTCTGCAGGCTGATTTTTGTTTTTATTTTATGTTGAAGTTATGATATAAAGAAAGAGATTAAACTAGGTGGTTTTTTTTAAAGTAAAGTAAAGTATTTTAAATTATAGGTATATGGACAGTGCCATTATATAATTTGGTTACTAGATGGTACCTAGAGTTAGATACATCTTCATGATAACAACTATCAGAATTTAACTGTTTTTGTTTTCAGGACACAGTCCAATTATTGTCTAGCTTCTTGACTAACATATCCACTAAGTCTCCATGCTATATACACAGCATATGTGTTCTATAAAACCTAATTTCTAAAATAAGCCCATAATGGGAACTAGTTTCTTATTCAGTAAAGAAGGTATTTTGCCACATAAGAAAAGTATCTGGGAGATTTCTGACTTTGCTCTAGTACTGAAGTCTGTTCGTAAAGATACAACAGTTATGAGGCCTGTTCAGATTAAACAATGAAGGTTCATTGATATTTACCAGAAATCAGTGCTGAATATAAAATAATGACTCTGCAGAAGTATACTAAAGTATAGAACAATAAACATTCTGAATTAGAGCATGCTGCCAAGATGACTTTGCATATATTGTTTGCAGAATTACCTCCATTTGTCTTAATTAGTATGCACCAGATTTATCTGTACAGGGCCACAGAATGCATTAACAAGGTATTATTTCACATTCCATGTTCTCTAATTAAAAGTAAGTAGAACAAAATGTAATATAAAACTATTCACCACCCAAAACTTGGGTAAGTACTTAGGCCAAATCTTATTTTCTCAGATCCCCAGCATGCATTTAGACTGCTTGATAAATAAGTACAACAGTAATGATTCAGAGTTTCCGTACCAGAACACTTAATGTTGAAGTTCTTGCTACCTTGGATACATAAATATAAGAGTCTCTAACTCTTAAGCAGTTACTTTTTAAAAATGTCTTTTGTATGTTATGAATTAAACACAGAGGGATGACGCACATACAATGCATATTAGAACATTATTTAATTTTTATGTGCTGGGGATCTGAGAAAATAAGATTTGGCCTAAGTACTTACCCAAGTTTTGTGTGGTGAATAGTTTTATATTACATTTTGTTCTACTTACTTTTACTTTGTTTATCAGTAAAAACATAACCAAGTCCTTTCTTGACTATCATTCAAAAGCAGTATCAGGAAAACCCAAGTATGACAATAGATAAACATATATTTACCAATACTCTTATTAATGAGGGTAGGGAATGGCAGAAATAAAGAGCAAAGCAACATCAGTTAAAATAGATTTGATTCCACATTGATTCAAAGCCCAAATTAGAACAGACAATAGGGTTGTGTTTACTATCCTTTAGTAAAAGGTGAAAGATTGATCTGAGCTGAAGAGAAACCAGCACATACAATAGCATTGTAAGGATACAGAGAAGATTAGTTTGGCCCCTGAACAAGGATAACAAAAAATAATGAAATTAACATTAGTATTATCTTGTTTGTGATTGAGTGCTGCATTACAATGATACAATTTATTGATTTCTTTTTATTACATTTCATTCATTGGGCTTCTAATTTCTGTTTCTTAGTCTCTTTTACAGTCTCTTCCTCCATTCGTGGCTTGAAAACCTTCACTGCTATTTTACAGTAACATTAAATACTGACTTAACCCAAACAAAAATATGTATTCACAGTCAGAACTGTTGGTATTGTTCACTGAGTTTACACATAGTTTTGAAGCCACTGTCAGTTACAAAAGTTGAAGTCTATGTGTAAATCAATCCTGTTCAGTTAGTCACCAAACAATGGTGCAACATTGATTCTAAGTAAAGTAACAAGAATGCTATAACCTAAATTGAAGAAATGGAGAGAAGAATAATACTTAGGACACATATAAAGTTCAAAATACTTTATATTTTGTTATAAAATATGTTAGTCTACAACCATAATAAATATTGATTGATATGTTGTGATAATTTATATTATATCTTATATTAAGTTAGTGTTTCCCAACCTTCCAAACTTTAACTTCCAGAATTCTCAGCAATGACCATGCTGGTTTAGAAACATTATTTCAGCTCAATATTATGAAACCACTCTTTAGTACAGATCAAGATTTATTCATTTATTGCTTATGGAGAATGGTACAAGCTACCTTAATGATCATGAGAACCAGAAGCTTACCTACTTAGTAAACAGAATTCTGAACAACATGACTGATTCTGAAAACTAGAATTTTAACAGATATAAGAATTAGATAATTTTGTAAAAGCCAAATATAAAGATTCATCTTCTAAAAATGGGTATTTCTCTTCCTTTCCATACATTATAAAAACATGTTTTCAAGTTAATACATTTAAATCCAGCAGACTTAAATATACTTAAACTCACTAAATGCATTTAGTTAAAAAAGTTTTTCAAACACATTTGTAAGTGAATATATTATATATATGTTATTTTATCTCTATGAATGCATCGTAACATCTAAAATTAAAGTTAATTGTGGCTATTTAAACAAAACAAACCTCATTAAATTCTAAATTGAACTGCTTTAAAGAGCAGTCTATAAAAAATTCCAAGCGATATTTCAACAAATTTACATTAGAGCAGTTAGATCTTGTATGCACTCCAAGATTAGAGGTTGTTATATTTTGTGCATCATTGTATCATTCTCCTCACTGCCAATTCATTTTATTTCTGTGCAGTTTTCCCTATTAATGCCAGTAAGACTGCCAAAAATATGTCTGAAAAGGCTCATCTGTTTTGTTCTAAATGTGCTATATTTTAAAGGGAAAGGAATTCATTCTTCTGAGTAATCTTATTTTAAAATGCATTCAATAATCATCTTTCTTTCTTTCTTTCTTTCTTTCTTTCTTTCTTTCTTTCTTTCTTTCTTTCTTTCTCTCTCTCTC